CAAACATTATTAAAAAAGGATGTTAAAGTAAAGAAAAAGAAATTCTTTAATATTAAAAAGAAAAACAGAAATAGATTATCATTATTTAGAATACTCCAAATCGTTTATCAAAACGTCGTATATCAAATGAATCCGAATCATCAATTAATGAGAATGAAACTAAACGAAGCAAAAGTAATTTAAAAAAAAAATATATTATTGTTTCTATTATTTAATATAATTTCTATTTGTATTCTAGCTCAAGATAAATCTAAAATAATGAAAAGTGTTATTTTTGTTTTAAGTGGCTTTCAAAATCCATTAAGATCTGAATTACGTAATAAAGCAACAGCAATGGGCGCTATTTATAATGATGATTGGGATGAAACATGTACACATCTCATGTATGTTTATATGATTTTAATTTTCGAATAAAAATAAAATATTAAAATTTTATTTGAAATTTCAGTTGTGCATTTCCAAATACACCAAAATATACACAAGTTAAAAAAACAGGAAAAGGATTTATTGTTAATAAACAATGGATACTTGATTGTTTTAAACAAAATCAATTATTATCCGAGAAAAATTATGAATTAAAAGGATCGCATAATGATAGTAGTACTATCAAGAAAGATACACCAAATCGAATATCAGAAAAAAACCAAAGAAAAACAATGAATTTTTATGATGATAATGAAGAAGAAGAAGAAAAAACTGAAAAATATTCATTATCAAAAGATGTAATAAGAAAAACATCAGTTAAAAAAATTATGTCAACATTTGATGATGATGATGATGATGAACCTGTAATTTCAAAAGATACTAAACGAAAATCACAAACTAAAAAAAAACTGACAACTTTCGATGATGACGATGATGAAGAAAGCATAGTTCCAAAAAATGTAACAAAAAAGATGACGCCTTCTGATGATGATGACGGTAATATGAATATTATTATATTTTTGATTAATTGGTGACCCATAAAACGATGAGACAGTTTAATTTTCTGGTTTTTCAAGAACGAAAATAAAGGGTGATCCAAAAGTCTTAGGCCCTCTCAGAAAAATTGTCCGTTCTCCCTTATAGTAAACTCAAAAATGCTCAAACTTTGGTATCTTATCCCTTGCAGGTAGGCGAATGTTACCCCAAAGTTTCATGTCTCTTTCCCTTATTATAAAGGAGATATATAGGCTAATACTCTAGAAATCTTATTTTTCCCAGTCCAAACAAAATGGTTGGCGCATAATAAATGGGCCATTTTTGCGTTTCATTTTTCCACCACTTATTACGTTCTATTAAGAAAACCAAATATACCATAAGATGCAGCGTGAAAAGCTCTACAATTTACACAATAAACCGTATTTTAATTATATAGTTTTTGGCTCCAAAAAAGCAGCAAAACTCCATGCAATCAATTTTCGCCGTCGTAAAAAAATCGTTTTTTTCGACACGAACGAAAAATTTGTTTGCTTTTCACCTTTTTGTCACCTAATACATTTTATTAAGAAAAAACAAAATATACCACAAGATGCAGCGTCAAGAGTTCTGCAATTTACAAAGAAAAGCTTGTTTTAACTATGTACCTTATGTTTTCAAAAAAAAAGCAAAACTTTGCGCGAGCAGTTTTGGCAATGGCACAAATTAATTGTACAGAGTTTTGCTTTTTTTCGAAAACAAAAATTACATAATTAAAACACACTTTACCGTGTAGATTGTAGAGCTTTTCACGCTGCATGTTATGGCATATTTTGTTTTCTTAATAGAACGTATTAAGTGGTGGAAAAATGAAACACAAAAGTGACCCACGTAGATGTATTCTGCACCAACCATTATTTTTTACACTGGGGGAAAATAAGATTTGTAGAATGTTAACCTATATATCTCCCTTATGATAAGGGATAGAGACATGAAACTTTGGGTAACATTCGCCTACTTACAAGGGATAAGATACCAAAGTTTGAGCATTTTTGAGTTTACTATTAGGGAGAATGGACAATTTTTCTGAGAGGGCCCAAGACTTTTGGATCACCCTTTACTATTCAAACGTATCATTCTAAGCTCATTCAATAGGAAACTTGTTGTTGCTCTGCAAAAATTCATTTAAATAAGTTTTTCTTGTCGATGAAAAATTAGAAAGATTGATGACTGTTTCATTGTCCGACTGCGATATCGAACGATTTCTTCAAGATGCTAAACTTACAATATGTAGCATCAATAGTCCTGTTTCTCAAAAGTTGACATGTTCTAGGAATTGTTTATCAGTATATCATTGGATGCAGAATTTAATTCTGAACAAATTGGTATAATTTTTAAGTCGAAAAACAAAATCCGTTAGATTATTCCCAATGGCATAGAGCTGTTAGAAGGAGACTTGTGCATCGTTTTCTAATTTTTGCTTGAAATATTGTTCTTCGTACTGTATGTTTGTTCAAAAGTTGCGCAACTTCGCGAGGCAATACTTCATGATATATCTTTTGGCACAGTTTAAATTTCGATGAGACTGTTATTTAAACATATTTCTAATAATTATTTTGTTTTTTGACAGTCGTAGTCGGCAACTGCGTACCTGTCAATTTCGAATAAACTTTGAATGGTATCTTTACATTGTGTTGTTGCCGTCAAAAACAAGAAAATCGAAGTTTTCCATTTGTTTTATGGATCATCCATTATGTTTCAAAATTTTGAATGAATCAGTCCTTTTTTATAGTTGTCTCTCATAGAAATGACTTTATGTAGTTCATCCTTTCTTTCCTCTGAATCAATCGATGGATGATACCCATTTTCTAATCGTTTTATCTTTATTAAGTCTTCAAAAAACAGTTGTCTTCCACTAACTGTCACTCGAATACATAATCAACAATCAGAATACAAAAGCTAAGTTAGTCAAAGGTCATATAACTATATTATATATTCAATTCAATAACGTATAGTAGGCATTTTCTACTCTAGACATAGACTTAGATTGTTTTTTGTAGAAATCATATTTTTCTTTTTCTTAACAGTATTAGTTTTTACTATTTAGGAAAATATAACTGATGAAGCAACTGAAATTCAAACGAAACTTTTTTTGCTGCATCAAAAAATCCTTGTGAGAACTGTTACCCTAAATTTTTCTAATAAAATTTCTAATTTCCAAAACTAAAAAATTGCAAAATATCCGACATCATTTTTCATTGAATTTGAATTGATCCTTACTTTTATTTAATAGTACTACTGAACTCGAAAGCAACTTGACAAAAACTATCTCTTCATTCTGTCGTATCTATGCATAGGTAGTGGTTGTGTCGAAATTTCATTAGTATTTCAATTGTACTAAAATGTGTGCACTCACTTCACTAAACATATGTATTTGTAACATATAATCGGAATAAAAGATGTTAATTATTTTTGCTGAAAAAAAAACATCCTTGAACAGGCGATCTTTTTATATCAATCGATAGAGCACAAACTCTTCTTTCACAAACTAAATGACTTACTTATAAGGCTTGTTTATGTTGCGTAAAAAGCGATTTTTTTTCTTTCATATCCTCAAGAGATGCTCTGTTGTTTATGACTGCATTACGTTTTACGAATCCATAAAATCGAAACAAATTCTTACATTTCATTTTATTGACTATACACTAAGGTACAATGTACATTATTCAAACCAATAAAAATGCCAATATTTTTTCTTTTTCACCAGATGTCGATGCTATTATTTCTCATGAAAACTAGAATTTTGTTATATAATAATTTATTTTCTTTTTTAGTTTATAATGCTGAAACTGATGAAGATGAACCAGAAACAAATAAAAAATCTTTTGAATTAGCAAATTTTTTTCATGGAAAACATTTTTATGTATTCATGAATGATTTTGATGATAATACACTTCGTGATATACGTCGAATTATTTATGCTTATGATGGAATATTAGAAAAACAAATTACATCAGATGTTCAATATGTTATTACAAATCGAATATGGAATCAAGAGTTTGAAAAAGTATAAACAAATTTTTATACCAAAGATACACAGTTACAGTTCTTTCCTTTAGTGAAGAGTGTACATTCATCCTTTAAAATAATTTCTAGCTAAAAGTAGACTTTCTCAGATGGGCTCCAGACTAAAGAAGATGTGTCCAACCAAATTTATTCGATTTTGGTCTAAAGAAAACTGTTCAAAAATTTATTCATATTACACCTAAAATAATTCATCAATACTCATTTTAAGATAATTTTGCTAAAAATCATAAAATATTTTACTATAAACTTGTGTTCTAGAACCAGCAAACATTTTTCTCGTAATCTGATTTCTAGTAAAGTTTTATTTTTTGGTTCCGCACACCTATATACTCGATGTGAGTGTGATGAGCTCTAGTAGTTTGACAAATTTGTAGAGTGCGCTAACCACCAAATGCAGAACAAAATATCGCGTATCTTCGGGACAACTATCTGTACTCGATTAGAAAACTTTATTGACAGTATCAAAGCATAGTTTGATTGTGTCCGAGTTCAAAAATTATGAATTCGAAAGGCTCTTGTTGAAAGTATGCTTCGATGAAGCTTCAATAAATCAGTGTTATAACTACTTTTTGATTTACATATATATTTTTGAATAATACTTCTGACTGGTAAATATACTTGTTTTTTTATACTCTTACAATTTAAATAATCTATCTATTTGTAAGATATAGTCTTAAATAATATTCAAAGAACAACATTCACTTTCATCAAATTATTTATTTATGTTCGTTCAATACTTTTAGATATCAAAAACAAATCCCGAAGTAAAATTTCTCTCACTCGATTGGTTACAAGATTGTCATGATGAAAATAAATTTGTTCCATGTCAACCCTATTTAATTGTACCTTAAATTAAACAAGATATATATTTTTTTTTATTGTTGTATATATATATACATAAAGATAAGAACAGAATGAATAATATCTTTTGCGATTTATTATTAAAACGTTATTTTTTTTTGTGGAATCTTCACTACAATAGAAATATTTTCAGATAAATATAAATATTTTTCATAATGACAGAAACAATGATTCCTGATCATTCAAATACAATGATAACAGGTGAGTTTTGTATTTACTTTAATTTTATATTTTTCTATAAATAGAAACAGATTTGTTTTGTTATGCATGTCTTTTCTTTTTATATAAATTAATGATCAATTATCTTTCAAAAAAATCTCAGTTTTGTATTTTTTTCTCTTTTCTTCTCCGTGTTGCAGAAAAACATTTATCAATATGAATAAGTTTCGACATACAAATCTTCAATCTACAGACAATTATCAACATCAAAAAAAAGAAAAGACTTCAGACAGACTTTTGAAAATATCTTTTGTTTTTTTTTACTTTGTCGTCTTCTTTTATCTCCCTATTTTAGGTGTTCAACATTATTCTACTTATCATTAACAAAAAAGAAAGAAAGAAAGAAACTACGAAATTTGTTTTTTTTTTTGAAATTATCTTGTTGTTTTTCGCTTTCTTTTCTCTATCCCTATTTCAGTGACAACATTAATCGAACATGCTGTCCATATATGCCTGATCATCTAGAAATGTTCTCTAAAAAGAGGTTATATTTGTTATATTTTGTATTTTTTTATCTTTTTTCTAGACAATGGTCAAACAACGAATTCTAATGAAAAAAAAATTACACTTCAAGATGTACCACGTTTACCACGTGAACTTACTCCATTTGCACCATTTATAAATGTTATTGAATATGATCAACGTGGTCCATTATTTCAAGGACCTGGATCTAAACGTGACACAGGACGTTATAAAGTTCGACCAGTTGATGATGATAATGTTAAACGTGCAAAAAAATTTGCGTTGGAACAAAGTGTTAAATATGTTCTTGTTAGACAACAACAACATCAACAACGGGCACAATTAGATTTAATCAAAAAACAACAAGCACTTTTATTAATGTGTCGGTAAATATTTCTTTTTATATTATGATATTAAATTCAAAGAAATATTCATTTTATATCAATTTTAGAATTTATATTGGAAGTATTAATTTTGAATTAAATGAAGCTATGCTTAAACAAGCATTTCAACCATTTGGTCCAGTGAAATCAGTTTCATTAACATTTGATCCAGTAACTAATCGTCATAAAGGTTTTGCTTTTCTTGAATATGAAACACCTGAAGCAGCACAATTATCTATTGAACAAATGAATGGAGTTATTCTAGGTGGAAGAAATATTAAAGTAAAAGAAAATCAAAAAACAATTTTTTTTTATTATTAATTTTTATTTTCTGTTATACAAATAGGTTGGTCGACCTTCGAACATGCCACAAGCACAACCCATTATTGATCAATTAACAGAAGAAGCAAAAAATTATAATCGAATTTATGTTGCTTCTATTCATCCAGATTTAACTGAAACAGATATTCAAAGTGTATTTGAAGCTTTTGGTAAATAAAAAACGATGATATATTTTTTGAAAACGACAATCATGTCATATTTTTGTTTTTTTTTTTAAGGAAAAATTAAAAGTTCTTCAGTGGCAAAAGATACAGCAACAGGAAAACATAAGTATGTGTATCATCTTTTTTTATTATGATATTTATGTTTTAATTAATGAAATTTTAGAGGTTATGGTTTTATTGAATATGAAACAGTTCAAGCAGCGCAAGATGCAATCAATTCAATGAATTTATTTGATCTTGGTGGTAGGTTATGTTTTGCTGAGAAATGGGCTACTGCTTATTATGAAAATTTTTACAAAAGACGAAAAACAATCAATTAATTTCTTCTGAGAGAATGATTATTCTCATGTACTCGTGCATGTAGAGGAAAATTTTCGGAGAATCATTGTCTATATAAAAACTTTCTAATGTTGAAAATTAGCTCGTAAAGTTTTTCTTTCATAGCAATCAAAACACGAAGTTCATTTCCAAATTGCATGGTTAATTTCTTAAAAGAAAACAATTCAATTACTTTCTTTCATCATTAAATAAGTCTCTCTTTCGACTTGCATTTCTTGTATTTTAATTTATTCTGTTCTCTGAATGGAAACAGTATCAAAGTATTTTGTCTTTTTGCATTGCTGTTTAAGTTTACCTTTGTTTTATTTTTCTTAATGCACATAACACACTAGTTTCTACGAACTGCACAGGAACCATCGAAGATAATCTAGCAAGTTAGAAATCCTCATTATTCTACTAATTTCCACTCTAATCTATCAATCTTATCCTTACCCTCGACGGTTTCATCTTGATTTGAGGCAACTAATGTTATATGAACAGTATTTAGCATAAGAAGTCTTACGTCCTGGCTCAGTTGTGATGAATTATTTCTAGAATGATCAAGTACGACAACTATCAGTGATTTCAATGATTGATAAAACTTACGTATTTTTACATAGTATCATTTAAGAATTTCTCTTCGTTAGGACAAATTTTCTATTTTTAGTGATAGGTTCTGCACCTTTGATTATAAACTGAGTAATTTAATTGTTGTAATATTTGTCAAATTGATGATCAAGATGAATACAAATAAAGAACAAAAACTAATAGAATGACCTCACATAAAGCAACTATGTCAGCCACTATATCAAACATCTCTAAAAATCTACCTTTATTAATATACCATAGTTATTCATGTATAATTATCCCGAAAAGTAATTATTTCAGAAAGTGAGATATGGATGTTCTCTTTATCTAAATGTCACAAGCACCTATTTTAGATCCATATTTACTATGAAATATTTTCGTTTATTTCTTATTGCTGTTTTTTCTTTATTTATTATAGGACAATATCTACGAGTAGGAAAAGCGATAACACCACCTGAAGGTTTATTTGCTTCGACTCAACCAATAGCAAGTCAAATGCCAACAGCTGCGGCATTAGCTGCTGCTACAATCACAGCTCAACTACAAGCTAGTGATGTTGAAACTAATGCGCCACCCATTGTTGTAGAATAAATTTCGAAATGATAAAATCTAATGAATTAATTATTTTTTCTCTAGACTACTTCACAAATTATCAATAATCCATTAACACAAGTTGGTTTTCTTGGTGGTACTATTGCACCAACAACAGTTGCAGCTGCTCTTTCGGCTGCTTCTTATGGTGGTGCATCAGCTGTAACATCCAGTATAAAAATCGTTTTTCTTTTATTGATGAGTATTATTTTTTGTTCAATTCTACTTTTAGTGATTTCTACTATACTCAATACAACTGCTGCCATACCAAATGTAATTCCTCAACCATCAATTATTGGTTCACCTGGAATTCTTTCGAAGTAGATCATTAGTATCATTTTTTTGTTTTGATCTTTTTTTACAAAAAACTTTATGTTTAGTTTTGCGACACCACTTGTCAGTAATCTTCCTACTTCTACACCAACATCACAAACGCTAAAACCACCTCCACCTCCTCAGCGTAAACATTATGTTTTTCTCTTATTTATATTGAAAGAATAAATATAATTCTAGTAATTATTCCTCCACCACCATCATCATTAACAATACCTCAACCTACTCTATTAGAAGAACCACCAATACCTGTTGGATTAAAAGTTGATTTACAATCCCAACAACAACAACAACAACAACAACAACAACAACCACCGCAACAACAACAATATCCATCAATTTCACTTGTTCTACCAAAAAATCCATCATCAAATAATTTAGATATAACCGACAGTCAAAAAACTGTTTCAGATTTAAAAAATACTGATGATCCGTTGGCTAGTTTATCTCAACAAGAAGAGCTTAGTGTTAAAGGTATATTTTGATAAATTTTTTAATAGAGAAAAATTTTTCTTTCTTTTGTTTCTTTAAAATTAAGGTCGTGAACAACGGCATTTACTAATGCAAAAATTAAATCAACGTCGACTTGATTCACGTGTATGTGTATTAAGAAATATGGTTAGTTCAGAAGAAGTTGATGATGATTTACAACAAGAAATTACAGGTTGAATTGTTATTTTAGTTTCTTTCTATTTTAGCATCTATCTGTTTGTTTTGTTTTATTTTTTTGTAGAAGAATGTTCAAAATATGGTGAAGTTAATAAAGTTGTTATTTACACTGAAAAACAAGGCGAAGAAGATAATGCAGAACAAATTGTGAAAATTTTTGTGGAATTTAAAAATAGTAAAGGTAAAATTATATTTTATTAACATCGATATGTATACATATATTAAAAAAATAAAAATTATTTTAGAAGCAGAAAAATCAGCTGAATCACTTAATGGTCGATGGTTTGGTGGTCGAATGATAAAAGCTGAATTATATGATCAAGTTGCTTATCAAGCTGAAGATCTTTCTGGTTAAATAAACTCTTTTTTGTTTTTTTTTTCTCTTTGTCTGTATCTTCAGTCATTGTATATTCACTTCTTTTTTTGTGTGTATGTTAACAAAAGAAAAACTAACCAAAAGCAATAAAATACTAAACATACGTATGATTAATATAATCTTTTTCTTTCTTTAACTGCAGATAATAAGAAAAAAAAAGGATTCAGATGATTTTATTAATCATTGATTTCGAATGATAATGATATGAAAAAAGAAACTAATAATGTGAATTATCAATTATATTTTATCTAAACTTTATTTTATTAATTTCAAGTACAGTAGATATTTGTTTTTTTGTAGAAAGTAATGTTTTGAGTTCATATATTTCATGACTGGTCATGTTAGTAAAGTGCTAAAAAAACATCCAGAAAAAATAACATCTATATATGTCTTTAACATTCATAGCGAAAAGAAATATCTGTTTTATTTTTAACTCATATTATAATTAAGAAAAAAGCAAATTTGCTTATGTGAAAACAATAAATAATTTCCATTCCTATAATAAATTAGAGTTGTGCAGGGTAAGAGTAAGAAAACTTTTTTCCAGTCAGAATATGAAATACAAAAAAAGATTACTCTGTATACCTCTATTTGATACTAGTGTATTATTTATCTACTTTAGATTGTCATATTTCTTTTGCAATCGATTAAACATTTCCAACTAAAAACGATTAACTTTGTAAGTTGATGATTCAACTGATGAAATGTTTATTTTGAGTTTGAAACAAAAAAATGTTATCTTTTTAAATTAGAACTATCAGTTATATATAGAAAGTTTCACTAAATATCAATAGTCGCAACTTGATACTTTGTATTTCCATCTCCATAAACTGATGTTGTCGTTGAATTCATCTTTCGATGTTCATCGTTATTATTTAATAATTGAAGAGACTTTTTAGTTGTTTCAATTTGTTCTTCGTTTAATTTTTCATCATTATTTTCATTTAAATTACTTTGAACATGAATCATATTTTTTGGACTACGATTTTGTAGATCACGTACAGCTGATACACGTGCTTCAATTTTTCCTCGATGTGTTTTTTCAACACGTTGACGACTATAAAATGAAATAAATCAATTTTTGGTGTTTTAAAATAATTGGTTTTTTTGTTTATTTACGCTAAATCAGCTTCATTAGCTTGATCGATAATTTCATTAACTTGAATAATATTATTCGTTTTGATTTTCTTTTCATTTACACGAGCATGTAAAATTTGATTTTGTCGTGCTCTTTCATGTTCTAATTTAATATCTAAACCTTCCATTTTTAATATAAGTTCTGCTGTTTGCTAAAAGTAACAAAAAAAAAAACACCAGTGATTTTATAATATTTGTATTAAACGAAATACTTTTTCAAGCATATCATCAGATAATTGATTATTTTTTTTATTTTCTTCAGCATGTTTTCTTCTTTCACGTCGACGAAGATATTTAAGAACAGCAGCTTTATCTGTTGGATGTTGTTTATTATTTTGATCTGTTGAAATAAGTGCTTTAAAATATGCTCGATATGTTGAACTTGTAGTTGAATTCGAACGTACATCAGAAAATTCATCAATATCACGTTTTTTTCGCATAAATATTGATAATGGAATAGCATTTTCTTAAATAAGATTAGTTTTTATTAGAGAAAAAAAAAGAAACATCTGATATTTACCGTTACTAATTTCTTTTGTTGTTTTACATTTTGAAATTTCTTCAAGTTGTCTTCGACACTCATCTTGTTCACGTTTAAATTCTTCAAATGAACTTCTTAATATATTTCGACTTTCATCTAATGTATTTAGAACATGTTGACTATCGTCTTTTTTTATTTTATCAACTGCACGTAAAATAAGTTCCTAAAAACCAAAAAATTAGTGATTTCTTGTAAATGATTTTTCTTTTTCATATTATCTTACTTGACTCTTCGGATTTAAACTATTTAAATCAGATTCAGAAGTATTTCTCTGATGAGAATCTGTTTTACGTTTTCCAGCAGCTGTTATTGCTTGTCGAAATTTAGTTGTAAAACTTTCATTGTTTAGTTGTTGTTGTGAACTTGGCTCAAAATGATAAGATGTTGATAAAGAATTTTGATTTTGTGCTCTTGATGAATCCATTGTGAATAGTGACAAGAGGAAAAACAATAAAAAAAAAAAAAAAAAGAAACTTTCTATTTGTTAACTTGAGTAAAGAAAAAAAATACGGATGTTAAAAAATTTAATAACATAAGAGAACAAAATAGAAAATAAGACCAACTAAGCCGAGAAAAAATAAAAAAAGTGAATAGAATGAACTAAACGATTTACGTCATCATTATTATCATAAAAGAAAAAAAACCTAGAATAGTAATACGTAGATGGAAATAGAATTTCAATTCTTCCAAGTGTTTTTTTTTTGTTTTTGTTTGCCCTTGACTAAATCTAACTGAGTAAATATTATTACATGTTACTTCAACATAAAAAAAAAAAAATTTCTTTTATGTTGTATTCTACTACATCTAACAGATACTTGTACATAAAGTGACAATCAAAAAGAATATAGTAATAAACATTGTTAAAAGTCATTGCTGATGAAAATTCGTATGGTTTTGTTGTAATTCTACGCTTAGTCACTAATTCTATGGTAAAACTAGTTCACAAAGACAATTTCTCATGATTATTAAGTTTTTTAATAAATTTATAATAGCAATTTAAGCGCTTATAAAATACTTATTTCTTATAGTCAAGAGGAAAAAAACAAAAATTCCATACTTGACTGTACTGTAAGAGCATGTCATAGCCGAAGGAAAAATAACAGACTTCACGAAAGTTCAAAACTGAAATCTTGGATGTTTCTCTCTCCGTCAAAGCTGTACTTTAGAACTTCTTGGCTATTTCAAGTCTATGATCAAAATGTGTCACGAAAAGCGGTATAGCGAAAAGAAAAAGTAGGCGAGCAAGAAAATTTTTTGAGAGCTGAAAAGGTGCATGTATAACTTTTCAAAAAAAATAGGGAATTGCTGAGCTTTCTTTTTATAACGTGACAAGATTTTTTTATAATAAAAGATACGATTTTGCCTAGAAAAACTAAAAATTTTCTAACAGTAAGTAGTATGTGCACCTTGTGAACAATTAAATATTTCTAGTTGAATGTCATATAGATTTCTATAAAATGAACTGGAACTAATAAGCTGACACAATTTGATAGTAGACTTGAAAGAGTCAAGAAGTTCTAGAGACTAGGTTTGAGATACCCATGAAGTAGCGCAAAGTACGGTATTTCCGCTTTCTTCCCTTTGATTATGAAACTTACATCAAGATAATGGAATTAATTCAAAATAACATCGATATTCTAGAAATAAAACTAGAACTGATTTATTTTCTTAGTTTTGATATTGTTCTTTTGAATATTAAAGAAAAAGTTTTCAAAATTTCTTTTTTGTAGATCGATACAATGAATTTTCATCTAAAAAAGCGTATCGTTTGTGCCATGTCTGGTGGTGTTGATAGTTCGGTATCTGCAGCTCTATTAAAGAAAAAAGGTTAATCACTTTATATTTTGTACCTAAAAATAGTTGAATTCGATTTTATTTCTTCTTTTCAAGGTTACGAAGTCATCGGTTGTTTTATGCGTAATTGGGAAAAACATGAAGATGATGATAGTCAAACAAAATGTACAAATGATAAAGATCTTGAAGATGCTATTTATGTTAGTAATCAATTAAATATTCATTTACATATAGTCGATTTTATAAAAGAATATTGGACAAAAGTATTTGAACCATTTCTTGATGATTATCAACATGGTTTAACACCAAATCCCGATATACTTTGTAATAAATATATTAAATTTGATTCATTATTAAAATATTGTCAAGAACGTTTGGATACAACATATTTAGCAACAGGACATTATGCACAAATAAAACAAGATGAACGAGGAATTAAGTATTGATTTCATAGAAGAAAAAAAAGGAAATAGAAAAAAAATATTTTCTTTTTCTTTTATTTATTATAGAATATAAATTAATGCGTGGTTATGATTTAAAAAAAGATCAATCATTCTTTTTATGTCATCTTAAAAATTCTGTATTACCATTCATTGAATTTCCCGTTGGTAATATGATGAAATCTGATGTAAAACGTTTAGCAAATGAAATGAATCTTGAAAGAATTGCTCAAAAACATGAAAGTAAATTATAAGAAAAAAATGATTTTTATTTTTTGTATTTTTTTTACTTAATTTTTTTCTTTCATATAGGCATGGGTTTATGTTTTGTTGGCAAACGAAAATTTTCTCGTTTTATTTCTCAATTTATTCCTGATAATATTGGTTATATAAAATTAATTGAAACAAATGAAATTGTCGGCGAACATTATGGTTTACATTGTTATACAATAGGACAACGTATTACACCAATTAATAAAGAATATAAATCATCGAAACCATTATTTATTGCAAAAAAAGATCCAATTGAAAATATCATTTATGCTGTAAAAAAATGAAATTTCAAATACAATTATTTAATTATCTTTTCTTTTGATTTCAGGCACCTGGTACAAATCATCCGGCATTGTTTACAAATTCGTTTCATACAGATATTCCACATTGGATTGATGAAATGCCATTATTATTAAAAGAAACTGGAAAATATCAATGTGATTTTCGTTTTCAACACAAACATCGACCATTATCTGTTGTTATTTCACTTTCAAATAATAACACTTTACATGTATCATTACCTATTCCAATACGTTCTATATGTCCTGGACAAGTAAAATATTTCAAGAAAAGAAGCAATAAAATTGAAAAATTTCTAATTTATTTCTATTTGTTTATTTTAGTATGCAGTTTTCTATAATGGGAATGAAGTATTAGGTGCCGCACGCATTATTGATAGTGGTATATCATTATATGATTTAAAATGGACAGAACCGCTTATAAATTCGGATTTATTTTTAAATATGTGTTGATTTAGTTTCGTATTTTTCTTGTTCTTTTAAATATTTAAAAGA